TGAGCCTTGGGATCCGGAATTGCACCCAAATTCCTGACCCATCTAAACTGCAAGAAAGTAAGTTTATTGCTTATTTTAAGCTGCAAAGTTTGGGGCAATTTGTTACCTAACAATAGATAACTAATACAAAGACATTGCTCATTATTCAAAACACTATATAAAGCCCCTGAAAATTTAAGAGCTGTAACCAAGGAAAAAAACACCGAACAAGCTTCAAGAACAAGACGACTCTTCTTAGCAAGATTTACTATGTGTTTTCCTTAGTTTGGCCACCAGGAATAGAACTAGTATGGCTCAACTTTAATAACTGTGCAAAGCCCCCATGGCCTGCTTATCTGCGTTCCTATTCCTCGTCTTTTATTCCACTCTGATTTTTCTTTTTTTGCCCTGATTTTTTTTAGTTCATCTTTATGATTTTCTATATCATATGAATTATGTTAAGCTATTTTAAATTTAGCTTACAGAGAAGTGAGATATTCACGAATCACTTTAAAACTGTTTTTTTTTTTAACTTAAAAATAGTCTTGCACATTTGAGAAGAAAGTTTTGCACATGTTGAACACGAGGTGTGGGGGGCGCTGGGAAAGGTCATGCCATGCGAGCATGGCCGTGGAGCTGTGGACACAGTTAATTTGGATTGGGTCAGAAAAATCAAGTGATAATGACGACAAAGAAAAAGGGATGGCGATTGATTGTCACCACGGGGCCCAGGGCTTGCTCAGTCACGCACTGTGATATCTTTCAAATCTATTCATTGCCCCTGAACCCCAAGGTCCTTCCGCGCCACCCGCCCCGCCCCTTTCCTTCCAGCCCCGCCTCCTTTGTGCTGGCCCCGCCCCGCCCCTGCCCCCGGCCCCGCCCCGGCGCACTCCTCCACGTCGCCCCACTGGCTCCTGTTCTCCAGCCCTGGCCCTTTCCATGCCTGCCTATGGCCCCGCCCTTCGAGCGCTTCCCCACCCCTTTCAGCCCCGCCCCTCTCCTCCCTAGCCCCTTCCCTCTCT